TGGTAGCATTCAGGGCCCAAAGTTTTACCAAGACTGCTCATGCCTCCTGTGTTTGAAAAGCGAAACTTGACTTGTCACTTTCGTCCGTCAGACACATTCATCAGAGTAATTCGTACAATGTTGGAGATGACGAGCATCTGGGCTCAAGAATTCTTCTCTACGTGGTATCTTCCATCAAGGCTTTCCCGCTCTGCCAACCACACCAGCCCGGCAGGCGCCATTCCCCTTCAAATGTTAACCGTCGCCCGTTTTCAGGCACGATCCAGTGTGAACCTGTAAGTGAACCTGTAGACACTCTTCCATGTCTCTGATGAAAATGTTGTCCCCCGCTCTAGGTCTGTTGATCAAAACCAAAAGCGAGCCCCATTGCGTTCCGAAAAAACTGAGTGACATGAGAAGAACCTCCTTCATAAAAAAAAAAAATGTCGGACCATCCCGGTCGACAAGGCGCCTCCCCACCTCCTGTGAAAGCACAAGGGGGATCAAAACAGAATGTCAAAAAACGCCTACTGCGCCTTTCCCATTCGCTTTCGTTTCATTTGTTTGGTTGGCCGTTAACATCCCGTGGCCGAATCTTTCCGGAAGAAATGTCCAAACTCCGCGCTGACAAGATACACCAATAAAAAAAGAATACAATATCAAAAAAAAAGACATAAGGGAATGGGTGGTGGCCTAGAAACAGAACTCCGCAGATGAGTTCCATGGGTCCGGTCCAGGTGTCCAAGGTTCGTGGTAGATACAAATTGGTGAATGTGATCCAAGGGGATCAAACGTGTGGGTGTCGCTGGTGTCGTGTTGACTTTTTGTGCTTTTGGAAACCGGCCAGGCTTTTTAGGTTTGAATCGTTTAAACGTATAATTTTGGAAGTCCAGGCGGATCGGATTGTCGAATCCAGCCATAGCAAAAGTGTGATGGGTAAAGAAAGTAACGTGTGGCGTTTGTGTCAAGGATGAGTCGTTTGTGTGGTGATTACCCTTTGTCCCGTTGTTCTCTGGTTCGTTCCATGTCTAGCAGTGCCAGCGGATTGGGTTCAGAAACGTATGGTCCATACAAGCAGGCAGATCTAGTAGCATCCCTGAGGAGCAAAGAGAGGAACCTGGTGGTGGAAAGGCACGTGCGGGTGGATCGCCGGCGCCTGCTGCACATACTTGACCATCTCCCACCAAAAGGGGAAGTAGGGCTTGGGAGGCGGTGCCGCGCATGCTGCCTGGTACTGGATCTGGTGTGCATGGACGGGCATCGGGACCTGGGGCATGGAGACTTGGGGCATGGGACCGGTGTAGTGTTGAGGCACAAACTCCTGTGTGGGGAAGAAGGACGGCGCCGGGGACTCTTCTGGTTCGTACGCATGGGGTGCTGGGCACTCGTGCGTCTCGTGTTGCGGCTG